GAGGAAGAGAGCTTTGACTCTCAAAGGCTCACACCCTGAAACTCTTGTTGGTCTCCAAGGTGCTGCTGGACTCGAATCTACTGCAGGCCAACATGGCTACCCTCTGGGACTATCTCACAAGAATGTTATTCCAATCGCAGTGATCTTAGTTGCCTTCCTCTGCACTTTCTCCAACTCTATAATGTCCTTTTTGATTCCCCACTCCTCCAGATGTAGCCACCCGGGTGACCTTGGGTCAGTCACAGCTCTTTCGGAGCTCTCTCAGCCCCAAAATACGTCTAAAGGTAAAAGGTAAAGGTTCCCTTGCTCGAAAGCCAGTCGAGTCCGACTCTAGGGTTGCGGTGCTCATCTCCGTTTCCAAGCCGAAGAGCCAGTGCTGTCTGAATGGTCATGTGGCCGGCATGACTAAACACCAAGGTACCTATTTATCTACCTGCAATTTCTTGCTTTCGAACTGCTAGGTTGGCAGGAGCTGGAACTAGAGACCGGAGCTCACTCCGTCATGCGGCAGCCTGGGTCTCGAACTGCTGAACTACTGACCTTCCACAGCCTGCAGCTCAGCGTCTTAACCACTATAGCCACCGCAGCTCAATAAATATATAAAATAAATAAATAAATAAAATAAGTCTAGCTCTCCATTAAAAGAGCTAGAACTTAAGGCTGCCAGACAATCTGAGGATCTCCTGTCTATACTACACACAATGCCATATGATGATGATAACAAAAACAACCACCACCTCTGTATAGGGGCATTACAATGTTGGCTGTTTCATTTTCAGTTCCTTTCCTAATAATTCTTAGTATTCCTAATAATTAATAATAATCTTTTTCTTCTATCTGCCACACACAGGGTGCGTTCAGACGGGGGCTTTACATCGGTTAGGGTTCCAGTTGTAATCACATGACGAACATCTGCCTCCTGTCCCTAACCGGTGTAAAGCCCTTTACACCGTTGCACTCTGCCACTAGGTCCCAAGTGGTGGTAAACTGAGTGCAACGGTTGTAAACGGTGCACCCCGGCGTCTGATCGCTCTCCAACGTTGCAGAGACATTTCCGTAGGAAGCCTGAGGCTTCCGGCTTTCCCCCGCCATTTTTTTTTAAAAGCAATATGCGCTCGGGTGAAGCTTCGCCCTGAGCGTTTGTTAAGAAAAGAAAAAAAGCCCTTAGTTTAACTTCCCGGAGGAGTCCGGGACTACAGGGAGGCCAGGTTGGGCTTTAAACTTTAAAGGTAAGTCTTTACCTTTAAAGTTTAAATGTAATGGGGGGGGTTTGAGCATGCGCAAAAATCACCATTCTGTGAATGGCTGCCTATGCGCATGCTCAAACTGTGCTTAAAAAAACACACACAAAATGCCGATGCCTGCAGCGTCTGAGCGGGCATCCACCAGAGGGATCTGGAAGATGGAGGTAAGTGTGATCGCGTTTCTGCCGGCATAAACTGCACCGGTTCCAACCGGTACAGTTTATGCCGGCAGAAACGCCCTGTCTGAACGCACCCACAGAGTTGTCACTTTCATTGAGATATCCACTGCAGCCCCAAGACTGCTTATCCTCTCAGTCTTGGCCAATTCAAACCCTGCAGCAAATATTTAAAATGGGTGTGTATGTGTGTGCTTACCTTGCACATACCTGTTTCAGAATGCCTAGGAACACCACCTTGGTCTTGGAAATTTGGCCACTTGGCCTGCAATATGGCAAAGGAAAGAAACGCTGTGCATAGTAATCCCTAAAATGTACATAGCACTCACTTCCTTTATTCAAACTTCTCTCCCAAGTCATGATCTGTGTGATCCTTAAACCAGCCTATAATGTAGACCAGCATCATTCCCATAGAACAGATGGGACGGCCATGGTTGAGCATGTCTGCCCAAGGCCACCTAGTGAGTTCTTGGCAGTGGTGACATTTGAACCAGGATCACAGCTCATTCCATTAGCCACTACGCTATATAGGCTCCAAGGATGTTCTTGGGTTTTATTGCAATTTTACGAGTTCCAGGACCAGCACCAAAAATGTCTTCTGGTTCTCATCCTTAGCTCAGACTCTAAGTCCTGCATGCCTAGCTCCCTGGGTGGCCTGGGGACAAGTCACTGCTGGTTATCCTAGCCTGCCTTGAAGCCAAACTAGAAACTACACTGCTACCCCCACAGTGGGTCTCCAAGCTCTGTGTGCATCTTGTAATGTCTGGCTTGTAGCTGCCTTATACCCCATTGGACCATCTGGCCCAGCACTGTCAGCTCTGATTGGCAGCAGTTTGGTGTGCAGACTCTGATCTGAGAGAACCGGGTTTGATTCCCCACTCCTCCACTTGCAGCTGCTGGATGACCTTGGGCAAGTCATAGTTCCAACAGAGCTGTTCTTGAAAGCAGTTCTTGAAAGAGCTCTCTCAGCCCACCTACCTAACAGGGTGTCTGTTGTGGGGAGGGGAAGGGAAAGGAGATTGTAAGCAGCTCTGAGACTCCGATTGAAGGGCGGGGCATAAATCCAATCTCTTCTTGTTCTTCTAACCTCTCAGACAGAGAAAAGGCTTTCCCAGCCCTGGTCCTTGAGATCTTTTAAGACTAAATGCCAGGGATTGAACCCCGGACTGTCTGCATCTCTTTCACTGCTGGGCCATGTCTCTTTCTTGAGTGTTTCTGCAAAGGCAAAAAAGAGTTCATATATTTTTTTTTGTATCATGTGCTGAGCTTAGGAACAATACATCACACACAAATTATTATCCATAATTTGTTTCTCCTTTCTTTTTTTAAAAAAGCCCTCCTTGGTGACTAAACTGATTGTGTGAACTGTAGGGATTGTCTCAGTCTTTTAGTGCAGACACAGACACACATGGTGGCACTTGGTTCATGGAGATCTATATGTCTCCTGCTATTCTTGAGAGAAAATGGTTAATCTTGGGGAGGGGCTGTGGCTCAGTGGCAAAGCACCTGTTTCGCATGCAGAAAGTCCCTGGTTCAATTCCGGGCTTCCCCAGTTAAAGGGATCAGGTAGCAGGTGATGGGAGAAACCTCAGATGGAGACCCCAGAGAGCTGCTGCTAGTCTGAGCGGACAACACTGACTTTGATGGACTAAAAGGACTGATTCAGTTTGGTGTAGTGGTTAAGTGCTCGGACTCTAATCTGGGAGAACCGGGTTTTATTCCCCCCTCCTCCACTTGCTCCTGGCTGGATGGCCTTGGGCAAGCCGTAGCTCTGATAATGAGCTGTTCTTGAAAAGGGCAGTTTCTGTCAAGAGCTCTCTCAGCCCCCCCTACCTCACAGGGTGTCTGTTGTGGGGAGGGGAAGGGAAAGGAGTTTGTAAGCCGCTCCGAGACACCTTTGGGTAGTGAAGGGCGGGGTATAAATCCAATCTCTTTTTCTTCTTCTAATTGATGGAACTGATTCAGTATAAGGCAGCAGCTTCGGATGTTCGTATATGTGTCAGTGTGCCCTCATGAGATCGACTCATATCAGCTCCTGCTATCTTTGGAGTGGTTGCCTACAGGGAAGGCAATGATTTGGCAGTCAGAGGCTGCTGCCACACACGCTAAGTAATCCACTTTCAATCCACTTTCAGTGCACTTTCAAAGTGGAGTTTTACTGTGTGAACTGGCAAAATCCACTTTGAAAGTGCACTGAAAGTGGATTACTTAGCGTGTGTGGCAGCAGCCAGAGAAAGAGAGATGTTTATTTGAAGCCCCTGAGCCTCAGAGCAACACCCGACCCCAGACAGATTTCCAACTCGGGCTTCCAGGGAAGTAACACCCTTGTGGAGAAACAGCTCTCTCCTATCCAGGCCCCCAGAGCTGGAAACGCCCCCCCTCCCAGGAATCAGACTGGCACCAAAACTTCTATCCTTTCCTCTAGGTTCGATCTCTGCATCTCGCAGCAGCTGTCTCTACGCAGCCTCTTTCCACACTTGCAGTGAGCCGAGACTCTTCCCAGTCCGGCGGCAGAGACTTCTCTGTTTTTCCTCCTTCGCCCTCCTCGGCTGGTTCATCGACCACCTTCTGAGTCTCTCCCTGTTCCAGTCCAGGCCTCTTGGCCACCCTCCTGCCCGCTGGTGAACTCCCTCTCGAGACCCGGTCTCCGCATCCCCACCCCGAAACATCTGGCTACCCCCGTCCCGTGCCTGAAGCTCCCGGCCGCCCCCGGTTCTGCTCCTTCGGCTGCATCTGGCGCTTTCCTCTCACCCCCCCGCCCCGTCCCGCTCCTCATTCCTGGAAAGCTGATCCCGTCCGGCCGCTGTCCCGTTTTGGAAACCTGCTCCCTTCCGCTAGCCGGCTGGCTGGCTGGCACCCCGGCCCGCGCAGCCCACCAACTTCTGCCTACCCCTTCCCCCGTCTTCTCTGGGCGAGCGAGGAAAGTTCTCCTTCGAGGGCTCCCGCCTTCTGCAGAGTCTTTCGAAGGCTCCTGTCCAGCGGCTGTCTCGGCCCTGTGCTTCAGGATCCTTTCGACCCCCTCCCTTGTCTCTCCCATCTAAGGGAAGCTCCTCTGCCCCACAGCGACCCCCAGGCGCGGCACAGACTCGGCTGCCCCCTTTTCTCCTTCCCTAACCCCCCAGGATTGCCTCCTTCTGCGCCTCGTCGTATCCAGACTGAGGAGTCGTCCCCCGTTCCACTGTCACAGCATCCCCCAAGAGTCTCCGAGCCTCTTGCCAACCAGCTCCCCGGCCTCCCCCCATCCCCTTCAGGCCAGCCGAGCCCTCCCGCGCCCCTCCGCAGCCCGCTCGCCCCGCTGCCCCCACTCCCGTCTGGCTCCGCCGGCGCGCAACCCCCCGCGCGCCTCTCCTCGGCCACCGCCGGTCGCCCCTTCCCTCCTCCTCTCCCCGCAGTTCCCTGGCGGCGACCGGGCTCGCGCGCTTCCTGTCCTTGCCTCCCTCCTCCCGCCCGCCCCGTCGCGGAAGCGACTCCCACCGGCCGCGGGGGGCAGCCCTCGTCCTCCTCGCCACACACGCCGCCGTCCCCCTGTCCGCGCGCCGGCAAGTCGGAGCGCCGCGCGCGAGAGCCCGAGGGCCGCCCGATGGTGCTGCCGGGCGGCGGCGGGGGAGGAGGAGGTGCCCGGCGACTGCTGCTGCTGCTCGCGCTCGCCTCGCCGGCGCGGAGCCTGCGCCTCTGGCTGCTGCTGCCCCTGCTGCTGGCGGCGGCGCTGGGCCACGCGTGGACCTACCGCGAGGAGCCGGAGGAGAGCGACAGGTGGGTGGGTGGCGCGCGCGGAGGTGGTGGGGGGAGGGCAGAGGGGAGGGAAGGGAAGGGAAGGGAAGGGAAGGGAAGGGAAGGGCGGCCCCCTCCCGCAAGCCCACCTGGCCCTGCCTTTCCTGTCAGGCCAGCCCCGCTGCGCCTCTTTCCAGGGAGACGCGCGGGAGTCTCGCCCTCGCCGGGCCAAGGCGGCGTCTTCTGTGTATGTTATGACGGGCTCGGGAAGGCTGTTTGTTGTTGTGGCGGAGGAGGACTCTGCCAGACACCCGCTGTTTTTTTTCCCTCCCAACTCGCAGGGAAGTCTGTTCGGAGAGCAAAGTCGCCACCACCAAGTACCCGTGCCTGAAGCCCAGCGGGGAGCTCACCACCTGCTTCAGGTCAGTGGCGCCGCCGGCCTTCGCGCGCGCGCGCTCCGGGCGCCTGAGGGGGCGAAAGGAGAAGGAACTCCCCAGCCCGGCCCTCGGGGCGAATTGCGGCATTGGTGGGCATAGTGATGGTGGGCCCTGGCATAGACGGCTTGGAAAACAGAATTAGACAAATTAATTGAGGTGGCGTTAGGTGCCAGTGGAGTGAATGATGTCCCCTGGAATAGATGGCTTTTAAATCAGAATTAGACAAATTCATGCAGGTGGTGTTCCCAGTGATGGCCCCTGGCATAGTTGGCTTTAAAAACAGAATTCGGCAAATCCATGGAGGTGGCATTCTCTGGAAGTAGTGATGGCCCCTGGCACAGACGGATTGAAAAAAGAATTAGATAAATTAACGGAGGTGGCATTCACTGCCAGAGGATGTATTGATGGCCACTGGCCTAGATGGCTTGGAAAACAGATAAATTCGCGGAGATGGCTTTCGCTGCCAGTGGAGATAGTGTGATGTCCCCTGGCATAGACGGCTTTAAAAACAGAATTGGATAACTTATGGAGGAGAGGTCTGTCCATGGCTACTTGACATGGCGACTAATGAGAACCAAAGGAGAAAGAAAAACAGGGCTACACGGAGCAGTGTGCCAGCAAGCCAAAAAAGGAAAAAGGATGCTAGGTGACAGTTTTATTATACAAAGTTCTGTCTACAGAACTTGATTGCTGTGGAAAGGTTCAGAACAAAGTGGACTTTCTGATCCCCCTGATGAAGCTTTCATGGTGAAACATGAAGGGGCTTTGTGTAATAGCAAAGCTGTCACCTAGTATCTCGTTTCCTTTTTTGCCTAAGAGAACCTCCACATCCAGAAGCAGTGTACTGCTGATTCCTGGAGCTAGGAGGCAACCTCAGGGGTCTTGCCCCCTCTACTCTATTTGTTGGCCTCCAGGGACAGCTGGCTGGCCACTCTGTTAAACAGGGTGTTGAATTAGATGGACCACTGGTCTAATCTGGCAGGCTAACTCTTAAATTCCCCTCCTTCGAGCAAGAGAAATATTTGATCCAGGGTGCCAGTAGTCAGGAGCAACTATATATTCATCCCACACACTGTATTTTTTAAAACTGAAGCATTTATGTTCTGCAATTTCCCACCAGTTCTGTGTATTTCTACAAAGTGTATAACTGTGACAGACACAGTACAGGTGCCTCTGTTGCTACTAAAAGCAGCTCAGGAGAAAGTTAAGCTTCTTTTCCCCAGAACTGAGGCCTCGATCCCCCGCCCCCACACACCTGTGGTTGGTTTTTTAGGGCCAAATTACATATCAGGATTTCCTGTCATTTGCCCTAACAAAAGGAACAAATAGTGTCCCCCTGTCAAATATATTTTACCCCCTCCCCTTGCTGTTTTCCCTATAGTTATAATCTTACTCTTACTGTCCATGGGGTCGCGAAGCGTCGGACTCGACTGCGCGACTAAACAACAACAAATAATCTTACTATTAAAAATGATCACAGCGTAAGTCTTACAATATATTTGCATGTATCCTGCTTTAGACTGGTGGAAGTTTCTCTAGCCTAAAGAACCTTCATCCAGTTTTAAGTGGCTGTTCCATTGGAGGAAGAGCCACTTAAGTTGAAGGAAGACTCCAGGCTGGAGAAAGCTTCAGACTTTGAATACTATATTGGTAGAGTGACACGATCACACGCACACTAAATAATCCACTTTCAATCCACTTCCAGTGTGCTTTCCAACTGGATTTTACTGTGTGAACTGGCAAAATCCAATTCAAAAGTGGATTGAAAGTGGATTATTTAGTGTGTGTGTGATCGCAGCCATAGTATCTGTTTCTCACTCCTTTTGGGATGCTGGATTTGGCTAGCTCCTCTTGCAGAAATCCCTTTGACCACTCTGTAGTGAAATGGTTTTCCATACTGTGGCAAACCCCTATAGGAATTAAGCCTGTGTGTTTAGCAATCCCATTATTGCTTGTACAAAAGCCTTGAGAAATAGCACGTGGTGAGAATCTATGCTCTGAACCTAAACATGTTTCATTGGGAGGTGGGCTGAAGCCCTAGATACACACACTGGGTGGTAAATTGTACTAAAATCAGTATGGCTTATCTGGGTAAATTAGGGGGATGTCCTGGTAAGATTCATTGATTTAAACTGAGTGCATTTCTCTGTCAAGGCTCTTCTCACGTTAAGTTTTAAAGTGTACACCTATATAGATTTCTTCCCAAATGCACAAACTCAGGTCTGTCCTGCATTAAGCGTTGCAATAGCCCCAAGTATGCGTAGGATAAAAGCTGCCACTTAAACTGCTGGTTTATTGCTGTGAAGTTCATTCTTGACCTTCGGCAGACTGGTGTTGCATTAATGCTGCTGGAAGAGCAAGCACTAGATTACGGTTCTTTCCCCTGGGATGGTGCAAGAAAAGACTTTGGAGGATTCTGGAATAGTGAGGAATTCCTTAGGCTGGTAAAACATCCTTTTCTTTTTTTTTGGTCAAGAAACTTTTTATTTTTACATTTCACAAATTCAATACAATTTTCTTATAATCAGTTTCCCTTCCCCCTCCCTCCTCTCCAGTGGCTTCCCGCAATGCGTTTCCCCTGTGTTCCAAAAGTCTTGTATATTCTATGATAACAATCTTATTCTTAATATTGATCTAAACAAAGTAAATTTCGTTTTACATCCCAGTTTTTTCCTAAATAAATCTTGAAGTAAAACATCCTTTTCATCATGGCTCACTCAATGCAAGAGGCTGTGAGTTAGATGCTTCTTTTCTTCTCTGCACTGTGGGGAAGTAACAGTTGCCTTAAACCCCGTGGCAATATCCAGGCAAATGCTGCAGAAGTAAAGTTGTTCATTACTAACGTTAATATGAGCACTGTTAACTACCGCTGCCTTGGGGGGAAAAATGGTCTGCGAGATATAATGTGTTTGGCATGAGACCTTTTGGGGGTCCAGTAAAGTGTTGTGTGAAACTCGTGTGATTATAACACACAGTGTGATGGTGTTTTTCACCTCTCTTCATACTATGACCTGTTGCAACTTGCTATCTCTTGTGTACACAACTCTATCTGCCCATTTACCTTGTGGGTCTGTCATTGAGTTTCTGGTGTGCAGTGAACTTGGTCCCAACTTTGAAACATACCGGACAGCTGTGCCTGTTTGACTGATGTGAACATGGTGTGACCTAACTGGGAGATCAGCGATTTCTGTCCTAATCACAGAAGTCTGTAGTTTTGAAGTATTTAGTAGTATTAAGCACTGAAGGGATGAGGTCTTTGCAACAGTGAAATATATGATTTAGAGATAGCGTTTCGGTATGAAAATGTGCTTTTTTGTAATGAAGTTACTTTTGCAAGGACAGCTGTCAGCTCTCCACTGTGCTGGAATATCAACACATTGTAGGGTTCCAGTCTTACAAAGTGAGAAAGGAGTTGTAATAGCGAATCAGGCTAACAGCTAATTCACACATCCCTTTGTGTCTCAGATGCTTGTGTTATAGCACCTAAATTTATGGACGAGAAACACACTGTGTATAGGGCTGAACCACTCTTCTTTTGCATTATTCACATGTGAAATATTAACGTGCTTCTGTTGAGCATTATCGCAGTGTGAATTTTTCTGACATGTTTGCCTTTGGGGTGGTATTGTCAACCATGCCATGTCTGCACTTTGTATCTGGTGGTGTTTCGCCGTTATGCTAAGACGAGGCGGGAAGGCCTGTGTGCTCTTTTCCGTGGTCATGGCTTGTGTTATGCGGTTGTCAAGCGCTGTGTACTGTTGGTGGGAAAGTGTGAGGATATTGTGTTTCTCCGAGTCTCAGCGTGCGTCTTAAGAGAAGCGGATTGTGCTGCACATGTAAACATTTGCCGCAGGCCGACCTAGAAGACGTATGACTGGTTTAATGATTTGCACGCTGTTTATAAAACTTGTTAACTAAATCCAGGCAGGCAGCAATGATTAACGTCGGAAAGGGTCTGTCATTTGTGGCCTCTTTTCATGCTCAGTGTTTAAGGAAAGCTGGGGTTATTTTGTACAGTAAATGAAATCAGATCAATGCTGTGTGCTCGTCTGCTGTAGGTGCACCTGATTAAAGCAGGGCTCCTTAAATGTGGCTCTGATTGAAGATGACACATCTGATTTGCTTGTTCTTTGGAGACCACCCCGCTTTTTTTTAACCTTGGGCACCGCATCGGAAAACCCTTGCAACGCTTCCATATCAAAATACAGCTGCTGTGTTTGTCTTTGTGGCCATAATCCAGCAATGTTAAACACACACACACACACACACAGGGGAGAGTGGTGCACAAAGCCAGGGGAATTCTTGGAAGCACTCACTGTAACTAACATCTTGCACTACTGCAAGAAGGAAATTGCTTTTTTTTTCTCTGTTCAAAGTTTAGAAACTGAAACTGAACAATGAATTGCCTCTACAGCAAATGATAGGAATCTTAATAAAAACCCCAGCTTCTCCAGCATTTCTGTTTGTTATTTTTGTTGAGGTCTGGGGGACCATCGGCAGAGTCAGCTAGGGAAACCTGGTGGCCCTTGGGTCACACAGGTTAAGAGCCACTGAACGGGCAAGGAGAAAACAAGGGAGGGAAACACCAAGTAAATGGAATTACATGTATTTACGCGTCATTTTAGTAGGATATGGAAAAACAAGGGTTAAGTCAAGGCTTCAGAGAAGTTTGGGTCCTTGAAATGAATGAAGTGGGGCTGAATATGTCTTCTTGGCAAGACTCTTCACAGTACAAGATACTGGGCTTCCACTCTTTCTTAAAACACAAGCAGGGCTATTTTTGGGCAGGAACGCACAGGAACGGAGTTCCAGCTGGCTTCAGAGTTGGCCATGCCCACTACAGCCAAAACCTCTATGTGCGTGGCTACGGAGGGAAGGGGGCCCGGGCAAGCCAAGGGAAGGCAGTTTAAAATGCCTTCCCTTCCCTCCAGGGGCCGGCTTGCCTGGGCTCCCTGCAGCCATAGGGCGCCTGGGCAAGCCAAAGG